GTCAGGGACGACGAGCGACGAAAAATATAAAGAGAGAGAGAGAGAGAGAGAGAGAGAGAGAGAGAGAGAGAGAGAGAGAGAGAGAGAGAGAGAGAGAGAGAGAAAGAGAAAGAGAATATGTTCACGTATTCACGAGAAGCGAGCGTTTCGATAAAGACTGACGTTGTACAATTACTTAGCGTAGCGTGAGAAAATCAATGCGTTTAACAAATGCATGCAAAGGTAATTGCGCAGAAGTAGCACTGTCAAGAACGAGGAGAACTTTAAGTTTCAGGAAGTACATGTGAAATACCTAGCGCGTCGTTATTTTTCTAAATAAGACACTTCATTCGTTTATTCTCACCTTGCATTCGTATTCGGATAGATTTGCTGGAACGAGAATTCAATGAGATTCACAGCGAAACGTTAATCAAACTTGTCTAAATCTAGCACGGAGAAAAGCCGCTGCTGAAGTACGGCTCTGTCTCGGAAACGAAGCCTCATACATGTAAAAAGAAATTTATTATACATTTTCAATTTATTTTTTTATGTAGGATTACCTTCCAGATTGTATTATCGATTACAGGGTATCCTGTATATGTATATAAGCTTGCGATACCCAGTAAGAAAACTGTAATGTGTACGGATAAATTTATGTGTACATAGATATCTCAATAAAGAGTAAAATAAAAAGTACGCCGCGCGCGTTGCTCGTTTCACAATCCTTTTGCATAATCAAAAATCGCCTCGGGAAAATGAGACTCTTTATTTTACCGTAATTCCCGCGCCGCATTATCGCGCTAATGTATAATAAATCGCAATTATTTAATCAACCAAATAAAGCGATATTAGTTTCTTTGAGATTTTACGATGTAGAGAATATTTAGACTCTGCTTGTCTCTCGCGCAATCACATCGACTGGCAGTGCTGCCCAACCGTCTAATTACGAATAATAATAACGAGTTTGAACGTGTATGTGTATTAGTGTACATAAAATAATAATATTCTAATATATATTTCTTATTATCTTCTGCAGTATTACAATACAATAAATCGTTTCGCTGAGAATAATATCTGGTGAACGACGGATAGGGTAAGGTGACGAAATGCGCATCAACAATTCGATGGGTCGCTAATAGGCGACATTTTAAAGTGATTCACTTCGATTTTGCTCTTTTATATATTTACAACTTTATGCAGTGTTGTCGGTATCGCGAAAGGCATCTACGTGTTTTTATGTCGCTTATTAGCGACTCGTTATTGTTGATCCGCATTTGGTATCTGATCTGAATTTGGTCATCTTACCCTATCAGAGAAAACTAGATACATACAGGGTGTACTAAAACCACCGGATATCCTTTTAATCATAAATTCTTTAGAAACTTTCAAGACAAAAATTCTAATACAAAAATGTCGAGGCTATAATAGTTTTTAAATAATAAGCGATTACATTTCACAAATGACAGGCCTGAGATTTCGCGCGCTCAGGTACGGCGACACGACAAGTGATTAAGGTGTTCCTACGAATATCGTCCTTTTTAGCATAGTGACAACTTTCACAACAGACTTAACGATTCATTCTCGAATTAATTGTTCCTCTTGTTATCTTTAACCATTTCTCTTGTTAACTTTGTGTAACGTCTTATTAATAAAAGGGAGGGGTTCACTATGATGAGCATCTTGATCAGACTGATATCCTTCGATTTAGTCGATCTCCGATGTTCTGAGTGAACTTGGAATTTTCAGTTAGATTCAATCCAGTCTCCTGCCTCTCTTTATCCTCAAGTTTTCAAAATTACCGGATCATCGTCTTCCCAAATAATTTCTGTCCCGTTAAACGGTGACTTTGGTTCTCGCTCGCTCGCGAAACACATAGGAACACTTTTATCACTCGTCATGTCGCCGTGCCTGAGCGCGCGAAATCTCAGACCTGTCATTTGTGAAATATAATCTCTTATTATTTAAAAACTATCGTAGCCTCGACATTTTTTTATTAGAATTTTCCTCTTGAAACTTTCTAAGGAATCTGCGATTAAAAGGATATCCGGTGGTTTTAGTACACCCTGTATACATAATTTTTGTAGTCTATATGTTGATATGGGAAAGTAAGAACGGAGGGAAAATTAAGCCAACGGCACACGATACTATTTTTCCTACTGGATTGCTTACGAGAGCCAATCAGGACGCAGAGTTTTCGATCAGGTGACTCGAAGCTGAATCCTGGTTGGCTCTCGTAAGGAATCCAGTAGGAAAAATAGTATAGTGTGCCGTTGGCTTTAGAGAGCGGAAAGTTACGCGGACGATCCGCGCGAGTGTAATTTTGAAGTTGCCGCGCGGCCCCGGCGGATCGATCTATCGATCTCTCGCGCCGCTCGCATCTCGCAATTCTCGCATCCGCGTCCGTGCAAATGGCGGCCGCGCAGCGGCACGTAGCGCCTGGCTGGCCGTGTATTGTCCCGCGGGTCGACCGATCACCGCCGCCGCACCGATGGCAGTCCCGGGCGATGACGCGATGGTAAACGGCACGGCGCGCGCGGAGCGGCTCGTGGGCGACGAGTGCCGCATCTGCCTCAAGTCCTGCGCGGAGGCGTGCCAGCTCTTCCGCGACGACGGCGGGATACCGGAGAAACTGATGGCCATCGCCGCCGTACAGGTTAGCTCTCCTTTCTCTCTTTCTCCTCCCTCGCGCCAGCTTTGTTTTGAGAACCGCGTAGATCTCGCGTTTCCCCGCGTCCACGTCGCTCGCGTTACGGAGGTTCTTCTCCCGCGCCCGCCAGCCCGACGTCCGCGTTGTTTACGACGGACGAGTGTCGGTCTCCGTCAACGCGAAACTCCCTCGGGGAGTTGACGGAGAACCGGGAGTCGCTCGGGGAACCGTCTCGGCGTGAGATCTTTCGCGTGGAGGCGACTCCACCTCGCGGTTTCTCGTACTTCGGCCTCTCGCCGCGGTGTAAACAACGACGCAGGTCGCTTGCATAGACATATAAAAGATAGACTGCTTATGAGGTAGTGGGGGATGTCCTCCTGAGGGAAAAGGACAACACCAATTTATTTGGGTATCTATCTTCTTCTAGTGTACGTGATCACGTGATCGCCTTCAGATCACGTCCACTAGAGGCAGACAGATACCCAAATAAATTCATGTTGTCCTTTTTCCCTCAGGAGGATGCCCCCACCTAGGGTTCCACTGCCTCATAAGCAGTCTATCTTTTATATGTCTATGGTCGTTTGCGACAAAAACGTATGCCCCCGTTCTTGCGATATAATACTTGGTCGATGGGCGAAGCTAATGCCAACGTTGATCGCAGGTGGAGGAGGGAGACGGCCTGCCGGTTTCCATCTGTTTGTCCTGCAATCATCTGCTCGACGTGTCCTACGACTTCAGATGCCAGATTCAGAGTTCCGACGTGAGGCTACGTCAGATGCTGAAGCTGCAGATCCAGACCGCGTTGCGCGACGAGCCCGCGATGATGAAAAGTATCGTGTCCGACATGGTGTCCTGTAAGAAGGACAATCACCTCGTGGATGAGGACATTTACTCGTCTCACGGCATCGTCGCGTTCGACAGTACCGCCGTCCAGTCTGACGCGGTGGTTAACGACGAGTCTCACGCAAGTCACAAGTTCATGCGGAAGGAGGAAGTTGTAGAGCCGAGCGGGAAAGACGCGTACGACGCGCTTAAAGAGGACGTACACAACGACGAGATGATGGACGCAGTTTTGTGCCACGAGGCGATTACCGATCACTCGGACCGACTGTCCAGCTCGCCGACGGAGGACGTTTGCGTCAAGCAGGAGCGCTTGATGCTGCCCGAGGACACCGAGACGTCGGGCAGTTTGCCGGACGAGAGTAGGGAAGACGCGTTGAAGATCGAGGTGAAGAATGACGTATTGTTGCAGGACTTGAACGACGTTTCGAAGGAGAGCGCTGCGTTAAGAGCGGACAATCGCGTGGCGAACTGCAGCGACGACGAGGAGAAGCCGCTCATAAGCAGGACGAGCAGGCAGAAGTGCGTGCACTGCATCAAAACGTTCGCGACGCGAGTGGCGTTGCAGCGACACATGAACGTGCACAAGCACAAGACGAAGCTGCGCTACGTGTGCGTCATGTGCGACAAGCAGTACTCGAACATCGAGAAGCTCAAGGGCCACGTGCTCACGTGCCACGAGACCCTCGTGGCGGACGGTAAGGCGCCGCAGGACGACAGGAGGGCGAGCAAGGTGCTGGGGAAGGTGACTAGAAGCGGCAGCATTGTGGACAGCGCGAGGGAGGAGAAGAAGAACTTCAAGTTCACGTGTAAGGTCTGCTCGAAACAGTTCATATATCAGAAGTCCTTTTTGTCGCACGCCAAGAGCCACGCCGAGTACAACGCGGACACGTCGGACGACGCGGTCGATCAGTCCGCCAGTAAGACGACGGGCGAGCAGAAGGATCGCGCGCCGGCGTTGAGGGAAAACGAGTCCGAAGAGGAGGAGGAAGAGGAGGAGGACGACGACGACAGTGACCTGCCGATCGAGAGTCTGCAGTGCACTCAGTGCGGCAAGCTCTTCGCTACGAAGCGGAACCTCAAGAGGCACATCTCGACGCACAGCGGCCTGAAGTTCAACTGCGGCACGTGCGGCAAGGGCTTCTCGCGGATCGACAAGCTGAAGGATCACGAGCAGTCGAAGCACAAGGAGGAGATATTCGGCAACACCGACGACGATGACGACGACGACGAGGATAACGAGAGCAAGATGAACGAGAATTCCGAGAACCGAAAGAAGGCACGTTCACTTTGTTCTCTATACTTGTGTTTGTAACAGCGATTAACCACGGAATGACCAATTCCTGCGTAACGCACGATGGTAAAAATTAAGTTATCTCTCTCACGATATTTCTATTGGTTTCTACCAAAATGTGCATCGCCAACGACTGTAACATATAGGGGTGTATCTTGAGGGATGCAGGCACTAAGGCGTTGACTTTTAGGGCGAGAAAACTAGACCAAGATTCGAACCGGACGACTCTTCTTCCTACCAGCCAGGCCTTCATTTGACACCTTTTTCGCTTGCTTCTATTTTTATTGGCTAGAACAGGGAATATATTAGCAGCGATTCCAGAGCGACGTTTGGTAGACCATCATAGGACGGTACTCATAGTCCGTTCTCATATTTAAGATCGTCCTAAGTATAGCCTGTAGCCGGCATTCGTAATCAGATCTTATAATCAAGACCTTAAATTATAATCAAGGTCTTGAGTTTAAATCTTAAGATGCCGTTTGGAACATTTTATTGGCTACGGAGTATCTAAAGATAATCTTAAGAAGGTCTTGAATGTAAGATCTGACTATGATTACCGGCCTAAATGTGTTGCAAACCAATCACAGAGCCGTCTTAGTGTCTTAAAACCACTTAAGATGATGTTGAAATAAGGGTATTTGTCGTACGACAAATGTAATACCAGCCTAAAAACGGACTATGAATGCCAGCCACAGAGCGGCTACACCCCCGAAGACTCCTCTAGAAGATACACCGAAACAGATTGTCCCTGAAGCGGACAAATACGAGCGATCGCCTCCAGACAGTTATCTAACGGGCTTGTTTTCACGTTGCAGGACCGACACAACAGGCCGCACAAGTGCGCGCTCTGCCCAAAAGCGTTCGCGCAGGCCCAGTCTCTGGCGAACCACGTGGAGAGGCACAAACGGGTGAAGGACACGCAGAAGCGGTTTCTCTGCGAAAAGTGTAGCAAGTGCTTCGCTCAAAGCGGCTCGTTGGTGGCGCATATGCGCACGCACACCGGCATCAAGCCGTACGTGTGCAACGTGTGCAGTCGCGCCTTCACCAAGAGCACGTACCTGCAGCTGCACTTAAGAACCCACAGCGGAGAGAAACCGTACATCTGCCAGTACTGTAGCAGAGCGTTCGCCCGCGCCAACACTCTGGCGCGGCACATTACCATGCACACCGGCGAGGCCAAGTATCACTGCAACATCTGCAACAAGTCCTTCCGGCGACTCACCTCGCTGAACGAGCACACGTACACGCACACCGGCCAGCGGCCGTACGCGTGCAAACTCTGCACGAAGAGGTACAACAACGCTGGCTCGTTGTACGCTCACACGAAGAAGTGCAAGGCGCAGCAGCTGTCCAGCTCGACGACGACCGCGTTTGCAGTGTCCACAGCGGAGAGCGCGCCGCAGCAGAATGACGCGGCCATGTCTCAGCTGTTGATCTATTCCCAGAGGAAGCTGATCGAGGAGACGGCTGTTGGTCAAGTCGTACCTGCGCCACAGTACATGGTAACAAATGTGCATAATCAAAAAACAGTACCCGCTAACGTGATCCAACCCTTCGCCGTAGAGGACCCGAATGTGTACAATTCGAAACAGTTTAAGAACTCTTATTACATTTATCCAAACATGTAATAACACGATCGATCGTCGATCACGTTCGATTGTCGATTGATCGTCTTCGCCTGGTGATTTTATTTCAGTTTGTTTCACATGGTTTTTTGTTAGACAAGAGTTGGTCAAGCTAGAAATCTGAGAGAATATCACGATAGAAAGGGGGAGGGAGGGAGGGGGAGAGAGAGAGAGAGAGGAGGGGGGGGTATAAATAATGTTCTGTCAGTGCAGCTCAAGAAATATATTAAATAATGTCCAGTGTTTAAAATTGCTAGTATACATATGTATAGAAAGAGGAGATTTCGTGAATAATTTGAAACTCGAGGATTGAATTCATTAACAATCAAATGAATATTTTTTATTTATATACAATATTTGAATCTATTGGTTAAATATATAGTGTTACAGTAATATACACACATTACTGCGACAGAACTCGCTGATTGGCGCGTATCGTGCTAGAAAGTCGAACATACAAGTGCAGTAGTATTTCACGAATGACTCAGGTTGTAGAAGTTAGAAGGTCTCGATATAACAATGTACAAAATATAAAAAGAAAATAATGACGTTGAAATTAGAAAAAGTTATGGATGTCAGATAGATATCTATGTGTAAAATTATGTATAAATGAATTCATGGGCATGAAAATAGAATGACTGAACCGGTTATAATGTCTATTTAAAAAGGAAGGAGAAAGCAGAGGGTATAATTAAGTGGAAAAAAATGAGAAGTAGTGAATATAGTCCAAATTGCGCTGTGTAACACAGCCCCCAGTGTGTTGAAGCGCGACATATTTCAGAACAACCCGGAATGCTGTAAATAAAACAAATTTGAATATATTTTTGTAATATCTACACGCATGTTACGTTGCTATTAGATAGGGAAGTACTCCTAGGTAAGCCGCATACAAATAAAATTGGAAGAAATAACGTTTCATGCGTATATTATAAACATAACTAAAATATTAGATCATGAGATTCTAAGCTAAGTGAAATAACTTATTCTTAATTCTCTCATTTTCTTAATTTAGTTCTTGTAACTGATAGTATTGATAATATATATTTTTTCTTCTGCAAATTATTTTATTATATAATCTGCTGTTTTTCTTATAGGTTTAAACACTTGAAATTTACTGTAATTTTAGATTTTTGTCAGTCCAGCTATTTCTTATGTCCATGAATAGATTATGCAACATTAAATAAGTAATTATATTTGAATAGTTTCTTTGATTAGAGATATATATGTATTATTTTAACCATTCATACATGTCTCGCCATCTTTGTTTAAGATTGTAATGACACGTGTTTCTAAGTGAAATTTTTATTTAGACTAGAAAGAAAGATTAATTTAAATTTTTGAAATATTCAACATTGAACAATTTGATATTTCAGGCTTTCTGCGGTGTACACGAACAGGTTTCGTTTCCAAACTGGAGCCGATTACGTTTATCAGTTTATTCCGATGTTTCGTGAACATTTCACTTTATCAAGGAGAAACAATCTGGTACTGAATTTGTTTCTTGATCAGATATTTCTTTATATAGTGATTGAGTATGCAGTATAGGATACACGAAGGCTAAAGGAGGAATTTGAAGGGGTTGACCAACCAGTGTCAGATTGTTTCTTCCTGATGAAATGAACTGAAATGTTCACGAAACGGAATAGTAAACTTAGACAATTCTAACACAAAAGTGAAAATATAGTATTAAACAATTTATAGATAAAATTTCAGAAATAAAATCTTTCAAGATTCACATATGCCAATTAAAGTGAAAAACAAAAGTCTGTCTTGTTGAGAAAAAAGGGGATGTCAAATATGTACTAATAGATGAATTATTTAATGTTTAACTAGTAGTAATAAGACAGTCTGGATAACTGTAGTATAATAGACGTAAAATTTTTGGCATGAAGACTGGATTGCTATAGATTATTAATTATTAAAATAAAAATAGACGATTACGAGATTGTCTACTTGGTAAAAAGAATATTTTCACTGAAATTGCTGTTAGCATTAAATGCGTCCGAAAAAAGAATGAATTTTCCATTATACTTTTATTGTATTTATGTAAAACAATAATGAATTTTGCTGATGATATTTACAAAAATGTAATGTACAGCGTGATTTGAGAAAAGATTAAAACACACACACACACATATATATATATATATTTGTAAATAATTTAAAAATATATAAACTATATTACGTCTTTGTGTAAAAGTAGTAAATGTCCCAAAAGTGGCTCGCTTATACTTTTACGCAGCATGGCGAATATCGAACACAATGCAATATTTTATAATAAAGTTTATATAAAAGTAATCGCGTACATGTGCTATGTGTTTCTCTCCTCGAAATGACTTGCTTATAAAAATAACGATTTTATTGTTATTTTATAATAGATTTGAATAATTAGAAGTCTAATCAAATTTTAATATAAATTGATAATTGATATATTAAAATTTGGTTCGTTCTTTAATTTATATATTTTTACATTAAATGCGACGCAATTTTATATCGAATTTATTGACAAGATATAACCAATAATATCTTATTTCTTTGATTCATTTACTTTTTGTTTAAATGCATTTTTAAAACTAATTCTTTTTTCTTATAAAATAGTGGAGTTTGCCTTAAAAATTTCGAAATATTTATATGTTTTTATGATGTATTTCAGAAAGAGTACGCCTCAATATTTTCATCTAAAACGAGATGATTGTGGAACGTTTCTATCTCCACTCATTATATTGTCAGATTGAAGCATCTTAATGTCGACTTATACCACTTGAACTGTGAAATACCGTTTATACAGGTTTCCCTCAGAGACCCGTGGAAAAATCGTTAATTCCCGATGTACCCAGCTCGCATGAAAGAAAAATGATCGCCCGCTGCGTTTTCAGGCGCGGAAATATTAAATTGTATTCCTGCGGGTCTTCGCGGGGCCGAAAGGCGATGCTGGGGCCACGGAGGGTGTCCGAGATCACTAACCAATATTTAATCAACTTTGCAGGAGAGAATATTATTCTCCGGACAAATCAAGGACATATGTATCAGACCGCCAAGGGGAGAGACCGACACGTTCGTGCGTATTGATATCAAAGACATACACATCTCTCGTGTACGCGTTGCTCTTTCAGCGAGCAATGGCGTAATTCTGAGAGCGAAAGTATGCGTTTTCCTTTAGAAAATTAGGAAATTATAAAATTTTATTGTCTTCAATTAAATGTGTCGAAATTTGGATAATTTTTTAGGTCGAAAAAGAAGTAAATACGTGCATTATAGATGTATCTTTTACAGTTATAATTATTCGTTTACGCGAAATGTCGAGCATTATTTATCTAGTGAAATAATAGTTAATTTGTTCTTGAGAAAAATGCATTTCTTTGCACTTTTCTGATTTAATAATTTATTAATGCATTATTCACCTTAATGAAACATTTCTTTCGATTTTATTGTATAAATTCGATTTATATATAATATTTCAAAGTGTATTTCCAAGTCGCACGTTTCTACGTGAATTAATTTATTTGCCAACGAAGAGGCCGCGCTTCCGGCATCGACGCGACGTCCCGTTCATTATACACAGGATTTATTCAAAAGGATACGCCTATGTAGCGTTTGCTTGTATGCGTCGCCCGGAGATGTGCACGGTGGCAGCGTGCGACACACGTTCCGCGTGCCGGGAACGGGATTCCCCTGGGATAAGATTTAGGAAAGAGGGTGGAACACCGCGACTGCTCTCATCGTGGCACTCTATCCCTCTCTCTTTCTCTCTCTCTTTGTGTCTCGTGAGAACAAGTGCAAAACAAATGTCGCACAGGAGCTGGTCGACCGATGCGCACCGCCGTGCCATGCTCGTGAAAATTGTTTCTCTAGGTCGAAATAAATCATATTTTTCCTTGCTCCTCTACTGTCTCACTCGTGCCGCGCGAAGGACGTGAGAAATTTTCAATTCGTTCGGATGCTAGGGTGCCTTAGCTCGCGCGAGATATAAAAAACATGCGGTGTAGCTCAAAATTATAATGAATAGATTGTATTCGGTGAATTTTGAGTTTCTTCACGCAAATCGGGTGGGAATAATAATAATATTTGACGCCACTTTTTATTTTTGAACTTAAACTTTATGTAACTTAACTCTCAAAATTCTCATAAAATTTCTGCAAGGGTAAAGCTCGAAATTATTGAAGATATCGTAGGATATTTGTGATAGTGAAAAGCAATAAATTTATACATAATTTTCCAAAAAAAATCACGCAGTATCCCTTACGGAAAAGCAACGAGTTAATTACTAGAAAATTACTGTACATCAGTAATTTCTAATGATTCAATTACCGGTATACAGTAATTTTCTAGTAATTATTTCGTTACTTTTTCGTGAGAATCGTAAGGGATGATTATGATAATTTGGCAAACGTTGATATGAATAGTTTCAACGTGAAATTGAGTTCAAATAATAATCGTTAACCGAGATTAGTAAAACATATGATTGTGGAGAAATTTGGAGAAGATTTATACAATATGTGATTGTATCCTTAATTAATTTGAATTAATATCGTAACATCTAAGAAGATGACACGATAGCACTGTTGTCGAATATTGCAACCTGTACTTTCCGGTCCATTTTATTCTACTAATTGAAAGAACAAATGATAAACGTATCAAAGTAATAGAAAGCCGCTTAACGAAAAATTTTCAGTAAAAAAGTGTCGAATTTATTTTTGCTACATACATTTTTTATATGAAACGGTTACTATTGATCTATTTCGCTTCATCTTACTTTTTATTTGCAACGTTCACTGATATTTCTGGGGATTTATTCAATCCTTAATTTCTGTCTTGTGCATTAATAAATTGGTGCGATAAGAAGTGACATATCAAAAATATTATTTGACAGAATTTGAACATTAGGACGGCTGAATAGTTTACATAAATAGTTTTCCACTTTATATATAAACGAAAGTCCCTCAGATCGATTTTATTACTAAAAAATTTGATTTTTTCTCCACAATTTCTGTCACTAATAATACAAGAAACTGCATAATTTTAGTGAACCTAATTCTGCATTCGACAGACATGATAAAATATGCGTCAATCATTACATTTAATTTAAAACTTTAAGATTATCTAAAACGTAGAATGCTTTGCTGTCACCAAAGTTATACCATCTTCCATTCATAATGGAAAATGTTAGGAGAAAATAACATTGTTTTTTAACAATTTTTATTAAATGTGTTAAAGAAATCACTCTTTTAACACACGTTTAATACAGATAGTAATTGTTTTTCTCAATAGCGCCTGTTCTTAAACATATTTTATGTGAATAACATTCTTTACATTTTTATTTTAAAAACAATTTGTAAGTCGCTTTTAAGATTTTCATCATTGCTACATTTTTTCATCTGAATAATACTGTTGGTATCTTAGAAGAATCCTCCAATCATTCTGATAAAAATGAAACATATAAAATGAATCCTATTTGATGCAATGCTGCTGCTTGACAGAGATGAGAGGAAACTTGCTTTTGGTAATTATTGCGTAGATTAAATTTGTGTTAAAAGATGGATTTTGATTCACATTCAACAAATCTGTTAAGAAACTATATTACATTTTTTTTCTTCCTATCTCGTGCTCCCTTTCTGTTTCTTTGATTTAATATTTAGCGTCGGGATCAGGGTATGACCAGTTGAGGCGTTTCAGCGTCGACGCGCGACGCGAATAATTCGGCCTGCGTGATATCCTTGGCACGGCACGGCACGGCACGGCAAGATGTAAACAGCTCCTCGGATCTTCGCCGCGTTACGGGACGCGACGCAGCCTCCTGCAGGCTCCTCGCGTCCACTGGTGCGGCCAGGACGCAGCGGCGTCCTCGGCGTCGTCGGCGTCTCTGCGTGGGATCGATCGTAGTGCCGAAGGTGGGGCGGCCGGAGGGGCGCGTCATCGAATGATAGCACTCATTCGGGCTGATGGCCGTTTGGGGAAGAGGGTTGTCTGGTCTGCAACCCGGGGGTGGTCCCGCGTAAATCTCGAGAGGGGTGGAAGTCGGCGTTACCGACGCGGGGCGGCGTTTCAACCCCCGTTCTCGTCACAGGGATGGCTCGGCCGGCGGCGAATCAGCTTCCGCACGGCGAGCCCCCCACGAAACTCAACCCCTGCGAGTCAACTGCAGCCACACCCACGCTCCTACCCGCGGCACCGGCGGTTATTGAATTAAGCTTATCATTTGATTTTGAGGAGACCCACCAGTCGGTCGTACGGGGCGCTCTTAAGCGGGCCGGAAAACTTCTTCCTATCCGCGGTGTAATCGCAATAATTTGATATCGCTGATCCGATTACGCATCATAAGCCGCTATCGAGGAGCCCAACCGGCGGCCCGGCGCGGTTCCCGGTCTCGCTGAAGCGTCGTCGCCGACGAGAGAGCGGCGTGCCGCTCCTACCGCTCGCGTCTACCCGGGTCTTACCCGCGGACGAGCGGGCCCAAGAGCGCGGGTACGAACGGGCCCGGACAGGCCGCGCTTGTTACGTGCCCCCTCTAAATCTCACGTCATCACGCTCGTCATCACGCTTCCACGTTTCCGCGCAGCGAGTGTCTTTTTTTTTTAACGTAAAGTTTGCAAGGGACGCGTTGTACCTGTCCCCCGGACAATACCAATGTGTTAGACGTCGTGACTCTCAACGGCCTGCCGTCGATTTTTTCGAGTGCGTGTCATTCAAAGGCTCTCGCCGGAGTGCGAAGAAACGACTCTCCAAGTACCAAGTGCCAGCAGACTGACGCAAAGTGGATTTACCTGCGGCCAGGCCGGCGGCATCATGGACTATTCGTATCTGAATCAGGCCGCGGCCGCGGCAGCGGCCGGCTTCGAGGCCTCCAGCTGCGCCTTGGCCGCCGGCGAGATGCAGTGTAGTTACGGAGACCTGAGCTCGTGCTCGCAGATGAGCCAGGCGGCCTATCGTTACACCGCGGCACGGGCCGCCGGCTACCCCGGCAACGCGGCCGCTGCCGCCGGCGCCGCGGCTGGCGGCACGCCGCTCGCGGCCCATCACACCACGCACCCCCATGCTCACACGCACCACGGGGCCCACTCGACCCCCTGCTCCGTAATGGCTGCCAGGTCCCAGGAAGTCCATCGGCACGCCGCCTCCATCTTCCCGTCGGCCATCAATCTTCAGAGTGAGTAACGTTACAGCGTTTCTTTCAAGTGTTCAATCATCACTTTCGCTTAGCATACCTTACGGGTAATCTCCGAATTATGAAGCAGTTGTTGAATATTGAATCTGTAATTGTTACAATGGAATCAAAAATTCGAATGCTTTATCCGGTACATGAAGAGAATTTTCTCTTCAAATTTATCCTGAAAGTCATGTAATCGTAGGACAACACGGTGTTTCGAAGAATTTTTTAAAAACTTTACCATACTTTCTCTCTTTTTACTAGTAATTACACTTAGTATACTAGTGAAATGTATGGTAAAATTTCAAAAAACTTTCATCAAGTTTCTCGAAATGCTATGTTGTCCCACGATTACTTGATTTTCCAGGATAAATTTTAAAAGAACATTTTCTCCGTGTAGAAGGAAGAATCTCATGCGTGGCTATTTCTTATGTTTTTCGATAATTGGCTATATTTGGAACTAATTCGTTCTACCGCATTACATTTTAATATTAAATTTTTCAACGAGCGTTTATTCTTTCATGAATGATTAGTCGTCGCTAGTTTTTGGAATGACTTGGTTTTGGAACAACTACAAGTGAAAGGCTTTCCTCGTATTGAAAGTTACGCAAATAGATATTCAAACTTCAATCCTCGTTTAAACTTCGAGACAATTTTACTCAGAAGTTTGATTCGACATTTAATCAAGCAAAGCTCTTACGAAGAATGAAATTGTTGAGACATTTGTAATACTTCTGAAATTTTTTCAACAAAAATTGACGGTATAAATTTAGAGAATTGGTTTACTAGTAAAGTAATATGTAATATGGACATAGTTTGTATAATTTCATAAAAAGCCACATATTTTTTGTATCTATTTACATATATAAAAATAATCGCAATCTATAAAATACACATAACACGCTGTATGCAAGAAACTTACAACTGAAGAGTTAAACTTACATTGCCGTCACATTACATCTAATTATTTAATAAATAAAGCGGTGTCTTATTAAATATCCGTTGTAATTCGTCTTATTGTTCATTTAATTAAAATAGTTAATTTGCAATTTTATGTTCCTTCGTGTCATTTTAAACGGACGAGTTTATAAATCAAAGTTAATAAATAATGTGTACTATTAATTATATATTAATGTCTACACGTTATCGTATATTAAGATCTCAACACCGTTCGTAATAAATAATTCATAATTCCGACTGTAACATGGCTTAACAAGAGCTCCTTTATCCTCGCGTCAATCCGTCGGTCTATGAACGTGCGACGCTTTGTTATGTTTGTTCCGACGATTTAGAAGGGGCTAAACATGTCACACACGAGCAGGGAGCTAAGCTCCCTGCGCCCTAGTTGATAATTGATCTCGATTGAATTCAACATCACACATGTTGTTTCGACGTGGTGCGCGCAAGAATGTCACGAGGATGTATTATGCAACGTAGTATCTGTCATGCCTCAATTAACGTTTTATGAATTCGCTGGAAGAGCTAGAATTATAAAGCAGTACCACAGCGAAATTCTCTCCCTGACGTAAGGACATCAAGATATCAGAGGTGATATCGTACAAAGTAAAAGCCTTCGGATAATCTTCAGTATGATTGTTCATCGCTTTTACAAAGTTAAACCACTCGTTTCTAGAAACGTGAACATTTTGTTATTTTCCTTTACGAAAAAGCAACAAAATAATTACTAGCAAATTAATCGTATAATTGAATCATTAGAAATTACCGATATACAGTAATTTTGTAGTAATTATCTCGTCGCTTTTCCGTAAAGGTCGACACGCATTTTTTACATAATTACAATTTTAACGCGCATAAAAGTATATATATTTTTTCGAGAATGAAGATGCATGTGGGGATACAACAAATGTTATGGCAGGAAATTAGTTAATTCCTCTCTGTTTATTCTGCTGATAAAATTTTGTACCCGTATTAAACAAATAATTGGAAGTACAATACATATTCCCGCCATAAACTTTACATTTACAGTTTTAGGTATGATTACTCATATTGTAGCTACTTAATTTTTTAATGTACATATGTAAAGATTATTCTTCCGCACTCAAACGAATATTTTGCAACTGCAGCAACTATTTTCTAGGTATGAAAAAGTCACTGAGATATATAAATGAGTGCAGGCCAATACTGCGAAATCGCATATGTTTTGTACTTAATCGATTTAAATAACAGAAACAGAATTTCTGTCTTAATTGTTGGCCAGGGTTAGGAAGAAAGTCTTTCTGTGACTCCCATCTATTATAATGTTTGATTGCGGTACATAAATAGTTACATTCCTTACAAAGATTGTTCTAGCTATGGTATCAAAATTCATTTTTATCTAATGATTAATGAATGATTAATATTTAGCCATGAAACTCAAACTTTCCAGAAGGTATTACTAGAATGTTGCTGCTATAAATTTTGCAGGCCACAATTTTCTAACACAAAGTAGCGGTAAATTTATGTTGCGACACCTAGAAATCTATCTTAGTAAGATATTTTTTTGAGTGTGATGTTTATAATGCGGGAAGTTAAAGATTCGTATTTTCTTCAATGTGTTTTGCGTTATGTTAATTTATTATAATACATTTTACCGCATTATTATAGTTATTTTAATTGCACAGTGAACGAAGGCTCGTAATTCAGATATTGCGTTCTTTTTATCATTACATTGCGACCATTATTTTTATTTCTACTAATGTTCTGCGCGTTTCTAATTTCCAGGCGGTTTGGGATATAAAGCTTACTCAGGGCATGACGGCCTCGCGGAGAAGAGAAAACAACGTCGGATACGAACGACATTTACGTCAGCCCAGCTGAAAGAATTGGAACGTGCATTTCAGGAGACGCATTATCCAGACATTTACACCAGAGAAGAAATCGCTATGAAGATCGATCTGACGGAAGCTAGAGTGCAGGTTAGTCTGCCCTTTGTTTTTCCGTAATGAATTCTTTTTATAAAATTTTTAATTAGCAATTTCCGCATAAGTTTGAATTTAATTATCGAATTGCCTCACGAGAGGCAACATGAGAGGAAAATAATACTTGCTCGTCAATATTGTACAATTATGTACATTGAATGTGATATTTTTTATAAAAGTCCAATAGCGCTAATACAGAACATTTAATATAGAACTAATTTAATATAGAATATTTAATATAGTACATTCAATATAAAACCAAATTAAGAACTGAACATTTGTGCAATAACATGTGCAATAATGTAAGATTCGAAATAATTTTGTATAGCTGTTATAAGAAAAGAACATATTTTCTTTCTTGAATTATATATAAAATTTTGCATTACACACACACACACACACACATATCGCGCAATTTGCTTCATCTGCGCAAAGAGAGGGTTGTTGACGGAAAGTTGAGGGTGAGTTCGCAGGAGTGTAGTGTAATTACATTACAGACTCCATTTTCGTTTTCATGACTACCTGCAAGTCGCAAGCTGATGGATTATACTGTCTAATACGCATGACGGATTATCATGAACAAAAGATAAACGACTTAAGAATTGTACGTGCAAACGTCATTGTAAAATTATTTCTTGTACGTATGAAATTGCGCTTGTGTATTATTTTTTTTTTCGTTGCTAAGACGAGTAACAATGTAACATTTCTTGGAAATTCGGTTTTAACAATTCGGATTTGCACAGAACGAGACGTACGACGGCAATTCCCAATTTACTTTACTACTTAATTGAAGAAGAAACATGCTAAATATTCTTGAGCGTGACACCTGAGTCCGGGAAAATTGTTCATATTTTGTGCGATTTGATTTCCACCATTTTCGGATCATTATACATAATCAAAATCTATTTGTATGATATGTTGAGTGTTTACAAAGTACTGAAACAATCTTAAAAATCTCTTTAAAATATTTCCAGTTATTTCTTTCTTAAAAGTTGACTTAAAGACTATATTTTCCAATCGTGCAATTTCCATTATTAACTGAAAATATTAAACAGGCATGTTATATGAAACATACTTATTCAGTTTAATCGCAATGTTTATTCTAAGCGAAAACTCAAAATCAACTGAAAAGCAAGTCGTCAAATTATTGAATTATTCGTACGAAATTGGCCGAAGAATTCTTTTTATTTCTTTGCATCATACGAGCTTTGTTGATCACCTTGTACATAGTTTGGAGATCAACATTGTGACAGGACAATCGCCATTTTCGTCGGCTATACCGTATAATAAGATCGGTTACGTTTCATATGAGATAAATTTACACGATCTCTCTTAAGAGCACGCTAAGATCGGGAGCTATCTGTCACAGGTTCTTCGCCGATTTCCTTATACTCGCTTCTCGTACACATCCATGACATTACCTGCTCGCGCTAAGACGCAGGTGTCGCGGGAAGGACAGGTGAGGTACATGTACGGTAACGCGATTAGACGGTTCCCCAGACGCTAACGGGTCCTAAAGTTAGACTTCCCGACTGACGTGCATCACTTAGTGCCGCCGAAGTATCTCCTCGACGAATTTCATTCAGATTATCTCGCGCGGACGAGAAGTGCGGACGATTTCATTGGTTTTGGGGCTTGGAGGAGGGAGCAATAAATTTAATCTTATCTCTGAGACATAGGCACGGATTAATATAACGTTCGCCATCGACGATCACGATATTATTACACGAAGAGATTAGGGATGGCGATTCGACGACTGCGGTACCAAATCACTCGCTATTTGCGGCGACGATTTGATATTCCAACGCGTATAATCCACTTTTGCACGATGAGCGCGATTATCTTGGCGACGGCAAGTTACTTAAGCTGCCGTTAACCCCTTGACCCTACAATTCGAATCATTGCAGCCGTGTTGATCGGGATATGAAAATCTATGTACAGTTTTGGTTGTTTCTACATTTCAATCCAACTTAACATTTTCTTCCTCGTGAAATATCGTCCTCGTCTTTAATAATTTCCTAAAACCGACGCGTATTTATTAGTAACGTAATAATCTTAATTATAAAAAATTATATGTACATACATGGTGAACTAATACTTGATTAATATTAATCGGTAACATAATTATTTATAAAAATGTTATTCCAATTGTCTTCCTCCCTTCTTTAATAAATATAACATGAATCAACTCGAGTAATAAAGGAACGCCGCTAAAAATAGCATCGCCATAAATAAAAACGAGATTAGATAATACAATTTCACATTTACGTAATTTACAAATTGATAATAGATTTTGTTTGAATATTATTATATCTAGCATAGTTTGATTTATCTTTCCTTTTAAACGTATTTTTATGTTTTCTTATATTTTCGTAATCTTTTGTGGTGTTTTACATATTTTTAGTATCTTGGTATGTTAAGCAACGCTAGGAAAATCCCAAGTTACGTATAGAGTTTTATTATCCAAGGTTAAGGCAAGCGAAATATATGTGCTTGACCATTCGTATCTTAATACTCGTCTATGATCTGCAACTTTTTACTTGTGAAACATTAGATTTAATAAGATATTAGGGAAATGTGTGAATATTGAAAGGAAGCTGGTCTTTGCTTAATTATTTTGCTAATATTGAAGTTCATTATTTGGTCCATTGAAAAATCGCGGATCGAAAATATTTCTCAATGGTCTTTGAACTCTCTAAGTGGAAATAAAGCTATTCAGTCTATCTTAAGAAGTGAGAGGAGTAACCATTTCTGGGACGCCGATATTCAGCATAAAGCCTGCGTATTTTATTTTTACGAGTTTCTTCTATTCGTACGAAGATTCACGTGCACTTTCTCAATACTTTTAAATATCCTGTATCTATTTAAATCCTTTTTATTTCTTCCTGTTTCTTTTACGATTTCTTCTTCTTTCATTCCTATGTACCTATATTCTTTGTAAATTTTTAATATGGTTACATAATTTCTATCCTATTCTTCCTCTTACGAGGCACATTAGGGATTTCCTTTTAAATTCGACTTTTTAATTTGCGCTCTTTTTGGGCGATTTAACCGAGGTCAAAAGCAATCAAAGACAACTAGGAAGATCTTCTTACGAATGTTAATCCCAACTAAGTGCCGATTGCGCCGCGTTATGCATCGTCGGACGTGTTCGCGTATCATGAACGAGGACCGCGCGATAATGAAGCGCGAGATAACTATTAATACTCTAGTAGTTTGCGGGTTCGCGGCGCGACCGCCATCTCTGGTGAGGTTTATCCTCCCGCGGTGGGGTAAGTCCTTTGTCTGCTCGACTTTGCCCTCCTCCATTCTGACAGGATGTACGGTCCCTCAAGAGTTTCCTCGTCCCTTCATTCGTGATTCGTTCGTTCGCTACTGCGAGTTACCCTACCCCCGCTGTCTTCCAACCCTCCGATTCAACCCCTGCGCCCCCTGCGCCTTCATCCCTCTCGGCCCTCCATCTCGTCGATGGCGGCTGCTCGATAAAATTTCCTCCCTCTCGCATCGCGAGAGTCATTGGCTTCCTCCGTCCACCCTCCTCCTCCCCTCCCCCCCTTCCTCCCGCACATCCTGCTTCCAGGATACTTCCTAATCGGCTGCCATTACTACCCCTATTTTCTCTTGCTATCTATAGTTTTACTTAGCGCGAAGTATAAATTAAGTTACGCAGGAATGTTTCCGTTAACTCTTTTCCTTCAACATTATCTACCATTATTTCTCCGTCTTCATATCTCATTTAAGATACTTCCTAATCAGCTGCTATTATTATCTTCGCCTTATCTCTCTACTTTTCTTCAGCGTGAAATATAAATTGAGTTTACGTGGATGTGTGTTCGATAGAGCTTCATTACGTTTATTTCTTTTCCCTCGTTTATCCGTAATAGCGTAATCAGCTGCTATTTCTATGTTCTTTTATTACTTAGAAATTTACTTAGCTTGTAATATAAAGCAACACTTGCGTCGACTCGACGATGCTTAAATCTAACAATAATGAATTAGCATAAACATTTTTCATCGCGTGCAGAGCACATAAATGCTTAATTTTTCAACTTTTAAAGTACTCGTTGAAACGTTGTTTTGCTCAAATTTCGGAAACTTCTGGATTGTTCTGAATTTGTAAATTGTATATAAAAACAGATGAGTCACACGCTAAAATCGAGCATTCTATATTCACTTTTCGAGTGTTCGAATATTGGCGCTGCTATTTATTTTGATTATTGTATAAATATACTATTACTAAAAGAGATAAAAGGAAGCGTGAATATTTACTACAAATAGAGATGTTATTAAATATTAATTAAATTTACTGATTGTAATAGTTAATAGTAATAGTACATTTTTTACGACGTTATGGTTGTAGAATATTTAATTTTCCTTAGCTTGACGAATTTGTCAATGATAACTTTGCAGCGCAAACACAACATATTCAAATCTCATTTGAACGCGCTTGCTAACAATCAAGTTACATTGTTTTATGGGTCTGTAGCTCTATTATTTTTTCTTACTTTCACATTAATTGTATAAGAAGAATGATGTTACAATTGCACATTACACATTATTCAATTTAATTATTGAGCTCACATACAAAGCCTTAATCGATTTCAATAAGTACACGGAGAGGATTTTCTTTTAAAATTTACCTCAAAAATCATGTAATCGTGGAACAACATGGCGTTTTGAAGAACTTTACGAGAGTTTTTTTTTATTTTACCATACATTTTACTAATAAAATGTGTACAAAGTATAATCACTAGCAAAATGTATGGTAAAATTTCAAAAAACTCTCATAAAAGTCTCCGAAGTGCCACGTTGTCTCACGATTGCATGATTGTCAAAATAAATTTTAAGAGAAAATTCTCTCCGTGTACAGTACAGAGTACAAAAGTTTTCCCTCGAAAATACAATCGAAATCTGGCAAATAACTAAACCATTCCGAAAAGTTTCGTAATATGTATGTGCGCAGTCGTCAAAAGCAAACTTCAAAGTTTACTATATCC